CAGGTGGGACCAGGTGGGGCCAGGTAGGACCAGGTGGAGGCAGGTGGGACCAGGTGAGGCCAGGTGAGACCAGATGGAGCCAGGTGGCACCAGGTGGAGCCAGGTGGGACCAGGTGGGGCCAGGTAGGACCAGGTAGGAGTACGTGGAACCACATGGGGCCAGGTGGGACCACATGGGGCCAGACGGGCAAAAGAGGCCTGGTACCTCCTGCCGAGGCAGACCCCGGGAGGCACCTGAGACAATATTAGCTTCCTCTCACTTTGGCTCTGGGGTCCCTTCTCCTCAGGAGGGACCTGCAGTTCATTTTGAAGGTGGAGGGGGTTGCTGGCTGTGAAGTTGGGGAGTGGAAGGAGTGGAACTGGCTGTGGCGTGGGGAAGGGAGTCAGTCATATATTTGGGGGTGGACATGTGGAGCCAGCTGTGTATCTGTGTATCTGGGGGAGCTGGCCATTTGTTTTGGGGGGAGCCAGCTGTGTACTTGGGGGAGCTGGCTGTGTACTGGAGGGATCTGGCTGGGCCATGTCTGCTGCTGCAGCCCCTTGCCCCCAGGTGGGGGCAGAGAAGCTGGCTGTGTGTTGGGGATCTGGCTGGGCCACGCCTGCTGCCCCAGCCCCTGCCCCCAGGCTGGCCCCCAATGCTCATTTTCCATTCATACTTCTGGTGAGCAGCAGTCATCTCTGACCCCTAATTTAGCTCATGCAGCAGACTCCAGGGCCTGTGGTGTCCAGGTAAACCCCTTGCTGGGTCCTGGAGGAGAAGGTTGGAGCTATAGGAATTTCATAGGGAACCCAGCCAAGCCCCACCTCAGACCCATAGCCCTGGGGGATGGGCATGACTGAGGCCTCTTCCCCACCAGCTCTGTAACCCCTGAGGGTCCCTCAAGCCCTAGGCCCCCGTGCCTTTGTGCAGGGGTCCCTAGCAAGGGCCCCTAGAGAAGAGCCTGGAGGGGAAACAGACACGCATGGGGAAGGAAAACCTGGGCCCAGTTCTCTGGGTCTCAGCCCTCGGGCCCAGGTGCCCCTGCCCCTCCTGCCCTGGGGGCGCTCGAGGCAGCCCAGTGCCCAGCCTGCCTGCTGGTGCTTAGGAGCGCCCAGGGATAGACTTTGAGGCTTGTAGGACAGAGCAGCTGCTCAGCGCTGGAGTAGCAGGAGCTGGTTCTCACCAAGGCCCCGCCCAGGCCTTCTGGCCCCAGGGCCAGTCTGCTTCCTCCTTGCGGGGCCCTGGTCATCTGAATAAAATGCCACACACTGGGGCTAGGGGCTTCCAAGAACAGAAGTCAGCCCTGGAGCTGAGAGTCAAATCCAGGGCGTCAGGGCCGTGCTCTCTCCGAAGGCTCTTTGGTCCTTCTTGTCTCTCTCAGCTTCTGGCCCACCTTCAAGAGCCGCTGCCCACTGGGGCTGACAAACCTGAGGAGGGCTGGTGGACCCCCCCGAAGCCCCTCCCAGCTGTGTCACCCACCGGGCCAGGACACGCTGTCTTTCCCTGAATCTGGAGCAAGAGCAGGAGCGACATGTTTGCTCCAGCCGGCACAGAGGTCATAGCAACCAAGGCTAAGTGCCCAGATCACAGGAGGTGATTGTCTTGCTGGCCCTGTGGTGATCGAGCATGAGTGCCACAGGTTGAAAGTACAAAGGGCTGGAAACTTGGGAGACCATCTGAAAGACCAGACACAGCATGTCCAGCCTGAGCTCAGGCTGGTGAGAGAGCAGCTGGCATCTTCCCACACCCCCACCATCTCGTCTGTTCCGTAAGCCCCCCACCACAGGTGCTTGGCTCAGGCCGTCCCCACCACCTGGAATGTTCTTTCCTCCTGGCCTGGCTGCCCCTGCTCGTCCTTAATGCCCTAGCTTGGAGGCAACCCCTGAGGGAGCCTTCACCTGGCAGCACCATTCAAGCTCACCCCACCCCACCCTTGGTGCCCTCCATCTTCACACTGCAGCCTGCTCCCTGGCACGTGCTGCAGTGTGGAGTTTCACATGCATGACGTGACTGTGTGCTTTCTGGGTCAGTCGCTGGGCCATGGTCTAACCCTCTGGCTCATGCACTGCACACTCGCCCCGGCCCAGGACTCCAGAACATCTGAGTGATGAGCAAACAGCCCAGGACTGCCCAGCAGAGGAAGGAAGGGATGTGGAGGGAGGCGAGGCTACGTCTCTGTCACCACTGGGCGTCATCTGGGAGTCAGAGGTCAGCTTGGTACAAAGGGGAAGCACCCTGTCGTCATCTGCCGCCTGAGGGGGCATCTCTGGAAGGGCCCACGGGATGTTGGACCATACTGGGCAGAGGTAGGGGAGGAGGTTACCTGCGGCCAGGTGTGTGCTAACTGGAATGGACCCTGGACCACCCTCGTCAGTGGTGGAAGGTTACCTGAGGCTAGGAGTACACTATCAGGGCTACTCCTTTCAATTCTCCTCCTTTCCCCTCCACAAAATTTCTGAAGGCACCCCTCACTGCTGCAGGACTTGACGTGGTGGCGCCCCTCAGCAAGGCTGTTGTGGGGAGGAACATCGTCAACCTCATGGTGGCTTGGGAGGGGAGCTCTGGGCTCCGGCGGCAGCCTGGTGGGATCTGCCTATGTTTCTGAGAGACACGGGTGGCCCTCCCCACTCTGCTGATGGAAAGCTGGTGATCCATAACCACGTGGACAGGTGTCCGCTCCAGGCTAATGTGGCGCTAACGTGCGTATCGGTGATCAATCAGCGGATTTGCAAGAGAGGCATACGGTACTTAATTACAATTGCGTTGGGCTCCTGTGTAATTGAGAAGACATTTGAATAGGTCACAGCCAATCCACACCCTGTTCTGTTGTTGGTATTAAATGCCACTCACTCTCGGAGCTGGGCGCCGTCCCCGAAGTCGCTGGGGCTGTACACGCTGGGCAAATTGAAAATGTCCCTTTGCTTTTGAAAACATGATTGATATCCTCTGTGAAACAAGTGTGACACTGGAGTACAGACTTCACCTGGTGCAGCCCTTCTCCGCGCCCGGAGCTTGAGCCAGCAGTTTGGCTGAGTGTGTGCTCAGAGGGGCCAAGTTCCACGGGCTCTGAGGCCACAGCCACCACAGTGCCCTATTTAGGGCAAAGGGCTTCTGTCCTGAATCAGGCTTCACTGACCAGAGCGAAATGCAAGAATAAAGCAGGGGACCCAAAGATGAAATGCAAATTGTATTTGCTCCTTTGGTAGTAGGAAAACATGCCTCCCGACACCCTAGATATCCTGGTGCCATCTGCTTTGCCTTGCCTTCCAAACCAGATTTAGTGTCACTTGAAACAATTTTTTTTAGCAATAAAAACACAGGAGTGCAGACAGACACACTGGCTATGATACACAGCATATGGTATATGTGTGCACATGGTGCTTCTGATGGCCAGTAAGAGTCATAGAGGCTCGGGGAGGTTAGGGACCAGCTGGTGCCACACACCTGGGTCTGCCTGCCCTGGCCCTCCCCCCCAACCTGTAAAGAGGAACGAAGTTCACAGCACCCCTTTCTCAAGGCTAGTATCAAAGGATGGGTATAGGCTGGCTGCTTTCCTGGCAGAAAGTTCTGGAAAACCAGAAGCTGGCCTTTGCAAAGGAGAGGTGCTGTCTACATGGCAGACCTCTTTCAGAGAAGGCCAGCTGGGGCGGGACCTTCCCCTCTGGCTGCCCTGAAAGTTACAGACCCCAGGACTCAGAGGGGCAGTCAGGACCCTGGCAGCAGTGGGCTGGGTACCTCACCGCTGTGCTCACCCCGTGAGTTTTTACAACGTCTAATAAAAGCAGTTCAAGGAACATGTTGCGTTTCTCTCTCCAGGGCGGGTGATTGAAGGGAGACTGCCATTTAAGGAAATGACTAAGAGGCAATGCCAGGTCCACCTGAGGCTTTGCAAGGTGAAGATCTACCTCCTCAGCAGGCCCCCTGCACCTCTGTCCAGTCCCGATTTTAAGAATCACAGTGCAATTCCCAATTGAGACCACCAGCTCCTTAGGTGTGTTTTTGCCATTTACAAAATCAGCCAGTTGTTGTCACCTAGCATCGGACTAGGTGTAATCCTTACCAGTGTTCCAGTTATGTAGACAGCAATTACCCCTGCAAAAGGGCTGGTGGAAAATGATAAGCTTGGTCAAATCGTTTCCCTGTGAATAGCTGTGTTTTTTTTTTTTTTTTTAATGCCCATCTCTCGGCGGTAATTAAGTCACTTGCACCTCAAATGGGGTGCACAATCCCCTCAGGTGTCTGCAGTTGGGTGCACCCTAAACTATACACCTCGCCCTGTACCAGTGATGTACTGCCCGCCACTGGGGCAGCTTTCAAGGGAACCAGCTGAATGGAACTTGAGGGAATGGGGGCTTAGGATTCCGAGGCATCGAGCAGAGCCCTGTGCCGCCCAGATGGTGCCCCGTGTGGGCCCCTCCCTTCCGTGCTCCTTCCTCCTTGCTTGTGTATAAACAAGTGCAAAACCCTCTTAAACCGTTATCCAGACATTCTGGCGACAACACAAGATATATTTGTCACTTAGGTTCACATCTCCCGTGACACGGACCACAATCCAAACCCCCGGGTACCCTTGGAGGGATCTGCTGTCCACCTGTGCAGAGTCCCCTTTCTGACCAGAGAGAAAGTGTCCACCAGCCTCACTAGCTGCATGGAGATTCCTAAACGACCAAGGGATGGGGCATCACCTGGACTCTGAGTGCGCCTCACTCTGAACCCCCGCGATCATTTCATTCCTTGGAGCGGGACAACTGTGAACTCGGGGCAGACAGAGCTCCAGCCTAGCTGAGTCTCCCTGCAGGGAACTGTTCTGAGTTGGGAAAGCCACACCACCACAATGGGTGCCCTTCCCAAGGTCCATTCTTCCTCCGACTGGTTCAAACTCCAGCGTTCTCTGGGGAGAAGGCTCCAGGCTAGACAACACCTTGGCTTCTGCGTCAGGGTCTTTAGCTGAAACCATCCTTCCAGGGAGCTCCTTGAAAGAGGACGGGTCCCATGCCAAGTAGTAGGGGCCTCACCCACCTCACATTGTCCAAAGCTGGAAGCTCATTTCCTGGGCCCCCAGCCGAGAGTGTTTGCTCTCCTGCTCCGGATGGGGCGACCCCGGCCCGCGGGAGGAGAGGATGTAGTCGATGCTAAACTTGATGGCCCGGGGCTCCGCCTCCCCCAGTGCGGTGGGGCTGGCGGGGGTCGGGAGCGCAGGCTGGCGGCTGGGGCCCGGGGACTCAGGGGCGCCAGCCGGCTCGGGCGGACCGCAGGATCGCCCCGCGGGCCCGGCGCCTGGAGCCCCCGCGTCCCGCGAGCCCCGCTGGGGGCCGCGCCGTCGGCGCCGGCGCCGGTAGTTCCCGTTCTCGAAGAGGTCCAGCAGCGACTCGCAGCCGCTGGCGAAGGTCCAGTAGCTCCCCTTGCCCTTCTCGCGGCCCTCGGCCCGGGGCACCTGGGGACGCGCGGCCAGGGGCTCAGCGTCCGCCGGCTCTAGGGCGCCCAGCCTCCGCCCGCCCACCCGTCCGCCCGCCCGCGAGGTAACCCGGCTCCCTGGGCGCCCAGTGGGTGCCAGGCCTGGGGAGTCCCCGACACCACGCTCGCCCGCCTCCCGGGATGCGGGCCCGGGGAGAGGTGGCTCGATCTCTGGGCCGAGTTTGCAGCCGCCGTCGTGGGCATCCTCGGCCCGTGGGCGCGCGCGGGCTCTCACCTTGAGGAAGCAGCTGTTGAGCGACAGGTTGTGGCGGATGGAGTTCTGCCAGGCGCGCTGGTTGGCGCGGTAGTAGGGGAACTCGCGCATGATGAAGTCGTAGATGCCCGCCAGGGTCACGCGGCCCTCGGGGCTCTGCTGGATGGCCATGGCGATCAGCGCGATGTAGCTGCGAACGGGCGGCCCCGCCGTCTGCAACCTCCGCCGGCTCAGCGGTCCGCGGCGCGCGCGCCCGAGGGGACCCCGCCGCCCTCCCTCCCCGGGATGCGGTGGGGGCGCGGCAGCGGGGGATCCTGGGGCTGCGTACCCCGCGTCCACGCAGACCCCCAACTGTCTTCCTCGGCGGGTGGGAGTCCCCTCGGAGCCCCGCGGCCCCAGTGAGCCCCCCGCGAGAAGAAGCGTTTCTCCTTCCTCCGGCCCCGGCAGGTCCCGCGACTCGGGCCCTCTGCGGAGGACGGTAGCAGCCTGCAGCCCCGCCACCGACCCCCGCGGTCACCTGTACGCGGGCCGCGTGAGGCGCTTCTCCTCGTCGGAGCTGCCGGCCGGGAAGTCGTCGGCGTCGTAGTTGAAGCAGTTGTAGGGATACTGCGAGCTGTCAAACATCTCCGCTCGCCCCGCGCAGCTGGCCCGTCGTCGCTGCCACCGCCTCCGCCCCGCCGCCCGCCGGTCCCGACCAAGCGAGCTTCCCTGGCCGCAGGCCCGCCGCGTCTGCTCTGCGCCACAGAAGGGAACCTGGGCTTCTGGGGTCCCCCGCCCGCCCCACCCCACTCTCTTGCATCCAATCCCGGCGCGGGGAGGCCTCAGCCGCCGGTGACAGCAGCGCGGGAGGAAGCAGAGCCGGGTTCTCAGTGACCCTCCGACCCCCCGCGGGTGGGGGAGCGGCGCGGTGGGTGGTCCGACGGGCTCCTGGGCCTCGCAGGCCTCCACTCGGCTCCCGCCTCGCTGTGCTCCCTGCACAGGCTCCAGAGATCTGGGCTGGTCGGAGCTCCTTAAGGGTTCGCCTCAAGGCAGAGGCCTTCTCGGAGCCCCCTCCTCCTGTGCGCCCTGGGCAAGCTTTAAGCCACTGGGGCTTCCCTAGCGCCTGGGTCTTTGGGTGGGTACAGCTCTCAGCAGAGGCTGCCAGAGCAGAGGCGGGAGCCAGGCCACCGAGAGAGCCTCCCTGCCGGCCAAGAGCAAGGGGGGAGCAGGCTGTGTCTGTGGGGCCCAGGGAGTGTCTCCTTGCCTGAGGCAGCAGAAGCACCACCAGGGGCCCTAGCTCAGAGCTGGGCTCCAGCTTTTCCTCAGGCCCCTTGTGACTCCATTCCACTGTCCCCTACTGCCCTGAACTGTGCCTTCTCCAGAGAACCCAGCACCAGGCACCCACCAGAACCAGTGGTCCCTGCTTCCCTGTAACCCAGCCCTGTGCGGAGCAGAGCTCCTGGTTCTGACGGTAGATTTTCCATCAGCAACGCCTTGATTAAGAAGCTCTCACTCTGTGAGTGGGTCTGTGGGTGCTGAAGAGAAGGGGAGGGGAGAGGAAGGGAGGGGAGAGACAGGAAGGGGAGGGGGAGGGGAGGGAAGGGACCTAGGCTAGGACTTTCCAGGAAAGCAGTGAAGTGGGATCTTAGGGGAGACTCTACCTCACAGTGGACACTCCCTGGAAGGTATTTCCTGGGTCATCTGTAGACTCTGACCCTGTTCCCAGCACTGTGTCTCCCTGAGCTCAGGAAAGCCTGGGACAAGGTGCTTCCTCCAGAACACGCCCCTTTGAAGCCAAGCCCTCAGCTCTGAGATGACCCGGGCCCAGGCCAGTCAGGGGCCCTGCTGCTGCCCCCCCCCTTGGTAAGAAAGGCCTACAGGCTGGGCAGGTGCCAGCGGAGGGTCTCCTCAGAGAGCAGCCTGGCACACCCAGGTCTCCCGGCGAAGCCACCTGTTTGGGGCATTGCTGGTGCCGGCTCCTGCTCAGGGCTCTGAGTCAGGCCCAGGCACACCCAGTGGCTCTGGCTTGTTCTCACCATCTGAATAATCAATAACAAATTTCTGCTGAAACACTGCACAGAAACTTTGGTGTCACCACCTGACAGGGTCACCTGATGTGGTCCGTGTGCTCCACGCCCCCTAGTGACATCTCTGGCCTGGATCTCTCTGTGTTATTTCTCACAGCTGTGTGAATCTACGATGAGCCCAAGAGGAAAAGTTGAGTTACAAAGGTGCTGGATGGTCTGGGGCCTCTGGCCAAGCCCTTCAGTGTGTGATCAGGAAGCTGATGCTCAGAGACGCTGGGCTGTGTAAGTACAGTTAGATGGAGCGGCCCAGCCCTGGTCCCCAATGAGTTCATGCCAAAAGCCACATGGAGCCCCAGTCACCTGTCTCTGCATTTGGGGTCCTCTAGTAATCCTGAGCCATGTTCCTGCTTATCCACCTCCTCTCTCCATTTCCTCCCACAAACCTTCAGATGACCTGAGAGCAGAGTTCCTGGGGCTTGTCCTCCCTGGAGCCTGAGGTCAGCCATCAGCCAAGGAGATCTAGGGAAGCTGGCGGAAGGATGGGCCTGTCCCCTGACCAGCGGATGGGTCCGCCCATCAGTGATTGCATGGGAGCTGCCTCTGGCCTGGACTGGACTTCAGAGCCCAGAACAGCAGTGACCACTTCATAGCAGCCTTCCCAGTCCTGGGGCCAGCCCGAACCCAGGGCTTCACCAGGAGGGGGCCAGATTGGACAGAACTCCTTGTCCTCCATCTGTGCCCCTCCCTCCAAGGGGTGCCAGCATTATGCAGGCAGCTTACTCAGCACTGCCACAACCAATGTGCAGTGACAGCCTCCGGAAATGCCCCTCTCCAGTGACCATTGTGCACCAGAGCCACAGAGCAGCCGAGGGCAGTGAGCCTGGTACTAGTGAGCCTTGCTAACCACGCCTGCAGAGGGTGCTGCATCCTTTCCACAGCAGCCATCCTGACTCGGCACCATGGCTGAGCCCCCTCCCGTTTCCCAGGAAGGAAGCTGAGAGTGGGGTAGACTTGTAATCGGTCCAGCATCTCACAGCTGAAGATCAGAGGCAGTATTTGGAACTCCTTTCTAGCTGACCTAAGAGCTCCACCAGTAAAATCCTGCTCCCCATGGGTCACCTCCCCATGGGTCACTTCCAGAAACTGACAAAGGGTGGGGGGTGGGGGGGAGTTTAGGGAGGTGCTCCAGAAAAGAGATGCCAACCTTAATCTGGACTCTTGTTTGCAGGGAGACTGGGCCCAAAGCCTGTGCACTAAAGCTCTTTGTAACCCCCTGGGGGGATTGTGTGCTGGGTAAAATATAAAACCAGGAGAGGCTTTAGATAAGATGATTGCTTCTGCTGGGACCTGGATTAGCGAGTGCCGATCCAGCCCGCCCTCCAGCTTCTGCTGGTCCAGGGTGCATGCTCAGTGTGCCTGGCATCTGATGGACATCTGAGAACCCCTTCCCACTATGGCCCAGGGCTGGGAAGGGGGGCTCTGGGTCACCCCTTAGCTGGTTTCAAACCCACTGAAGAGGAAGCACAGTGTCTGCAAGCTGACAAGAGTCAGAAGCAACCCCAGAGGAGGAACACAGCACCCCCAAAGGCAGTGGGCTAAGCTTATCTGCAGCCAGCCACCACTCTTGTGAAAATGAAACCAGACCTCTGCTCCTCAGAGCCCACCGAAATGTCAAATACTCAGCAGGTATGGTGAACACAGCGAGGCACATTTTCTGAGCCATTACTGGGTGCCAGCACTAGTCTGTGTGCTTTCCAGATACTAACTCACTGAACCCAGCAGCAGCACAAGGGGAGCCGACTGCCCGAGGTTGCCTGCTGGGAAGTGGCAGCAGCCCCTGGGCAATGCCAATGGCTTGCACTCCACTGCTGACCTGGAGGTTGGGGGTTTGCACTCATTCAGAGGACAGCAGAAGAAGGTCCTGGAAGTTGGCTCTGGTGGAAAGATTGCAGCTCGATGGCAGCCAGGAACACCCTGTGGGCCAGCTCTGCTCCATGACCCAAAGTCGCTGCCTGTCGGCGTCAGCTCTGCTCCGTGACCCAGAGTCACTGTCTGTCGGCGTCAGCTCAATGGCAGCCAGGAACAACACCCTGTGGGGCAGCTCTGCTCCATGACCCAGAGTCACCGCCTGTCGGCGTCAGGTCTGCTCCGTGACCCAGAGTCACCGCCTGTCGGCGTCAGGTCTGCTCCGTG